GTTTTGAACTCGATGATATTCTTTTTCGGACCATTTCCATCCACAGTCAATTATTATGAGTGAACGAAACAAAACGCTTCTTTCTAAAAGTCTATGCAAAATCGCCAGATTTTCCAACCTCCAGGCAGATTTCTTCGAATGCAGGCACTGATGCACGATTTTGTTCTTGTATTTTGTTTCGGTCTATTAGTCGCTGCTCCTGATAAAAAATTTACTTTGACAATATCGGAAGTCGAACAATGGCAGCCAAGTGATTTCATAGGTATTAATGCAGGAAACGACAAGCAACGGACAAGACAGAACGGCCGAGTAGACTGTGGGCTGATGCCCAAAGTATCGCTGAAGTACGTTCTATCCAGATTCGACTTCATCCGGCAAACCGCAATCAACATGCGTCATATTTTATCTGGTTAAGTGTGAGCGATGCTGTTAACTTCCATCCTTTCATTGTCACGAAACAGAACATGCAACTGCCACTTATTACTCGGAACAAAAGGACCAAAAAAAAGAAAAAATAGAGGGTCCGCATATTACTTCACTTTAGCACTGAAAGCTGCAAACGGGGATTCGAATAATCCTGATCTCATAACACCGAAGCACGCTTACTTGAGTATTTTTGAATAGTACCAAGATAGGGCCTGTGCCAGCAGCGAATCTGCTGTACGCTTTGGTGAAACATGCGGAATAGCAACTGCCAGGAGTAACAAAATGCATGACATTTGCGAATCGTTTAACAGTTTCGGAGCTTATCGACAGTGAACTATCTCTAGCCGCTTCACTGCACAAATATTCACCTGTATTATATGAAATATTATTATGAGAAATAAGTGGACCAGAAGACCCGAAACTTGCCAGATTTCAGCTTACTGGACAGGAAAGTGAAAAAATATTATGCTTCACTTTATATATGAGCAGTAAAACAAGATAGTGCATCGATTTTTTCCAAAAACGTCCCACAACGAATAACAGCTAATCGTAACCCCTAACCAAGAGCCGGTATGTCTCAGGAAGACAGCGTTTTGCATTTTTGCAACAAGGTGGTCAGTGCACAATATACGCAAAATTCCGTCCGAGTGATCCTTAATTCGAGTTAATGCTTAACAAAATTCTAAAAAGAGTGCACAGCTGGAGGTGCGGTTGTAAGTCAAGAAACAGTGTAGCATTAAAGTTAATTCTGAGTCACCTGTTCCATCTCAAGCGGTCAATTACAATCTTGAAAATTTATATTTCTAAGCCGGTCATTTCCGAAACTGCAGAATTAATTTGAATCTGAGTCTTAACTTACAGGTAGAGGCGAAGGGGGGAATGTGGCGAAGCTTAGAAGTAACTGTAGTGCATCTACCCCGAGCAATATAGGAAACAAGTGCCTTAAAATTTCCAAAAACCCAGACCTCCGCGACGTGAGGTTTTTTCAGCCAAAACGTCCGAAAATTCTTGAATTATTTAAAAGTGACGGAAATCATTCATACTGAGTCTTCGATATCTTACTGTTTTACGCTGTGCAAAATTCTGATGCACTCACGGTGCGTTTTCGGGGCCTATTTTATTCTTTTTGAAACATGCCAAAAACACAATACTTCTGTCATGAGCTTTTTAGCGTGTAAGAACCTAGCTGAAACATTTGAAACTACCGATAGTTTTTCGGCGGTAGACTGCAGTGTTATCATTTACTGGCCATTTGCCCATAATTTCAGTATTTGACGATTTACAACAACAGCATGCAAGCTTAGCCAAAAGATAGTAACGAGGTCTTGAATTCGGAATACCGATTTCAGTCGGTGAAATTACGTATTCCTGAAAATTACGAAAGTGAAAGTTTACGGCAGCTGAATGCTTCTTGGTACACCCAGACATTATCGTAATCGGCGACTATTCAGCTGATATCACTCACTAACCAGATCACCCATAACTTCATCACTCTTGTAGCATCTCTGACTTTCATTGAGTTAGCTTCAAGTCTTTCGTAGTACAAGAGTGATGACAAGGCTTCGACAAACGCAGAGAATGACGACGGCGATATCAGAGCAGTAAACAGCAGAAGGAAATAACACTGTATCGTATTTCAGTGCCTGGGATTGGACGCTAGAAGCAGCTACCAAATCTGACTAGTAGGTGGGAATCAAGAGGAGATCATAAAAGCTATCAGAGGCAACTTAAAATAGGAGACAAGCTCAGCTGGAATGGCCGTCTACGAAGGTATTTCGAATTTTTTTTTATTATGTAACACACGAGGGTATTTTCGCGCGTGCGCACGGACCTGACTGCAGCTTGCGAGAGCCATAAATGTCCCTTTCGCTCGCTTCTTGATAAGCGAGTAGAACTTTTACAGCCCCGTTGAAGAGATGAAGTGCCTAACTATGCTGTAAAATCTCATTCATTACAAAACAGCACAATAAAAGTCATGTTATGAGATTCTAAAACAAAAACTCTATCAAATAAAAAGTTGTTTGCAACATTTCAGTTCCTGTGCCTTTGCACAGCAAAAGCAACGCATCTGGCGATAGTATGGCGAAGTGGTGAGAAAAATTATCGAGGAAAACCAAAAAAAAAAAAAAAAAACTATGTCAAAAAAATGGATTAGCCAGCAATTTTAAAAGAACTGAGAAGCGCCGTCCGACAAATTTTGGGAGAGGAAACCTCAGGAACCTTTCCCGTTCAATAACATTTTAAAAACAATTAACGAATGTAAAAACATGAAAGCTTCAAAAAACCAACTTTGAAAAGGAAGAATTAACATGCGACCTTGAGAAAATGAAGTGTCTGCCTCTGAACAGGCTGGTGCTGAGATAGAATGAATGATGAACCAACCTCGACATAATAACTTTTATCAATCATTACGTCTCTGAGCAAATCATGAGCAGTGGACTTTTCAAATCCACAAACATTTTCCAGTACAATAAAGCGCGGTGGATTTTTCATCAATCGCAAAGCACCACAAATACTTTTCAGTGCGTCGCATCGATGATCCTCTAAATCCTTCCTCTTTCCCTTGCTAAAATACCATAAATTAAGCAATCACTTTCAAAATACCGCAACTAAAAAAATAGGTCCATACAGCAGGCAACCGGTGCAAGCATGTGTTCGTTACTACTAGGAATGCATCTGCATAAGATGCAAAAACGCATACTGTCGAGCGGCTGTGTGCATGTGTATGCATGTGTGTGTATGTATGTATGTATGTATGTATGTACATACATTTTCTGAGGCGAGTGAACTTCATCATCTAATTTCAACTCATCAACGGAGAAAGCTGGAAGGCTGAAATTTTAGGAGTATATTCTCACGCCATGTGCCATTCTCCCGTTTTAAAATCAGTGCTCTTGCGCGCCTGAAGGAAATATATGAATTTCTGGTGGGGAACGATTTCGAAAACCGCGAGCGAAGAAAGATGGAACTTTGCAGGGGAATCTTCTGTCCATGGGTGAGTTGACGACTTCAACTTCATCTATTGCGAACACTTGTGCACTATGTGTCATACCAAATTTCCCAGTTAACGGCGTGCCAGCTCAAGACCTAGCAAGAAAACGGTATCTGCGACTTTGTCAGAACATTTGCCGTCAGTCTGGGGACTCTCATACCTAAACAAAGTTTCGAACTGCAATTATGCCACGCCTTAGGATCATGTCCAAGATACTAGTAGCAAAATGGCGATTTTGGGTATTGAACAAGCCAAAAATTCTGCAAGGATACTCCACATTCAAATGTGGTCTAAATTCAACTTGAAGGTAAATTCCTTGCACAAGGACACGATAAATGCTCAGTTTTAACTCAGCTTTAAAGGCGAATATATTTTATTCGGATTTTGTCAATCCTCTCTTTTGACATCCTGTTCATTGCCTAATTTACATTTCCAAAGAACAACTGGTCACCGAAAACTTTTCATTTATCTCCGCGCAAAATTTAGGGCAATCATGCATGTTGGTGGTTAAGACTTCATACGGCTCAGTAATGCAGCACAATAAACTATGTTCTCTCCCCCTGCAAACAAGAACCCAGGTTGGAACGCACCAGGCTCTCCAATGCGATCATGCGTTTTTGCATTAAACTCGCAGATCGCTATTAGCAGGAATGATCCCTACGCTGCAGTCCAACAGTTTGGGCTAATATTGGCCATGCTTTGATCCTTTCTGGCATGCAGGAGGAAGGGCATCAGTTGGGATGAAGGTTGTGCATTATAGAGCCGCACGGACATCCAGATGCATGATTACTGATTTTTTGCATGAAGTCCGGTCGTTTTTTCGATAAATGCTTACTTTATAAAAAAATAACAAATGCAAATTTTTTGAAAAAATGCAAATTTTCAGTTCACTAAAAACTGCAAGTATTGCTCGAGCGGTCTTTTGTCAAAAAATGCACGTTCATT